GTCAACGATGTAGTACCAAATTCCAAGCCTAAGGGCGCTTCGTGTTGTCGTCTACATGCACCGAGGTGCCATGCAGGTATCGGGCCTCGGGGTAGCCCCCATTGCCCGGGTATTCCTCATGTCCCATGGCTATGGGACAGTCCTTGTAGCCTATTCTAGGCTAGATAGAATTAAACGGATTTTTCCGTGATGGTAAAAGATATTTTTCCGTAGTTATCCGACTACGGAAAAGGAGGTTATCTGATAAAGTCTGGGTTGGCCTTTCAGCGGCATTGTGGGTTGTTACTCAACTCTCTAATCACATATAGAGAGGAGTTCTCTTGGAAGAGGTCGCCCGTCCGGTGGCCGAGTGTGCAACGGCGCAAAGCCGTTGAGGTGTTCATGTGGCCCGTTGTCGGCACGGTCGAACACGCCGCGCGCTAGCCGGGCCCCGAAGTCGGTGATGGTCTCGACTTTCAGATCGGCCGCTATTACGTCATTCCGGACGTAGCGACCTGCTCTGACGATCGTCCTTAATGTCAGGTTCTGCTGCGCCTGCAGTCGCCGCCTCAGAGGGTCGCTCAGAAGTGCGTACCAGGCCGGTGCAGCGTAGGTGATGATGGTCCGGATTTACATCTTGTATATCCGGAGCTTGGTTCTTATCGGCAGCTTGGATGCCAGGACCGGCAAGAGCGTCGCGCGCGCACATCGGGCCCTGCGGACGACGAAGTCGACGTGCGCGGTCATGCGCAGCGTCCTGTCGATCCTGCACCCAAGGTAGGTTACGACCTTCTGGTACGCAATCTTCTGGCCGTTGAGGGTCAGCGGAGGTGGAAATTTCCTGAGACGGCGAGTGAGCAGAGCGGTCGTCTTACCAACGTTGACGACCATCCTCCACTCATCCAGCCATGGTGGCAGCAGGTCCAGCAGACGCTGCATCTTGGCAGTGGCTATGTGGGCTCTTCTGGACGAGGTTAAAATAGGCGCTATCGTCCGCATATAGCGCCAGCTCAACGTCGTCCTCCCACTCTTGAAGCCTGCCTGCCAGTGTAGGTATATCGTTGGTGTAAGCCGCGTACAGGACTGGAGACAAACAGCTGCCCTTGTGGAACGCCGGCTCTGATGGATCTGGTCGCGGACTCGGCGTCCTCTACGCAGACGTAGAACTTCCTGTCTTCCAGGAAAGACGCCATTAGCCGCAACATAGCAGGAGGGACACTGGTCTGTTCATTCAGCTTTTATAGTAGTCCTATGTGCCACACCCGGTCGAACGCCTTCTCGATATCGAGAAAGACGCCTAACGATATGCGGCCACGGTTGTACTCAGCCGCAAGAAGGTGCAGCACTCTAGTCAGTTGTGTAACTGTAGAGTGATCCCTCCTGAATCCGTGCTGCTCCGCCTGAAGTTGAATGGAGACGTCTCAGCAGCAATCTTTCAAACAGTTTAGCTATGTGCGGTAATAGCGTGATCGGCCTGTAGCTGGCAGCTCTACGCCTGTCCTTCCCTGGTTTCGGCAAGACGATCACTTTGCCTTTTTTCCAGTCCTCCGGGAAGTGGGATGTCCGCAATATCCCATTGTAGAGTCGACCAAGCTCTACTAGGACTCTATTGGGCAGCTGTCGGAGTGCAGCGTTGGTAATCCCATCGTGCCCCGGCGCCTTCCTCGGTTACAGGCGGGTTACTGTCCTCCGCAGTTCAGCGGGGGAGATGAACCACTCTCCTGCAAGAGGCGGCGCGGGCGACGACAGGAACTCCTGTACGCGACTTTCCTTCCGGACATGAAGCTCCATGAACTCCGCACTTGTTGGGTTCGGCATAAATTGCTCCTCGAAGTGCTCGACTAGGATATCCGCTCTGCCCTTGGCATCATAGTAGCGTTCGCCCGCATTGTTGGTCAGCGGGCAAACGGGAGGTTTGGTTTTGGTCAACTGCCGGTTCAGTTTGTAAAGCGACGCATCATACTCGTCCGCCTTCCGGATGCGCCGATCCCAAGCCTCCCCTCTGAAGGCCTGGACTGCAACCGACAGTTCCTCCGATAAGGTGTTTAGCTGGGTCTTTAATCTGGGACAGCGAGTACGCGCAAAGAGCTTTCTCAGCGCTCTTTTGCGCTTGACCTGCACGCTTATCTCACGCGGCAGATCGTCTCGCCTTGCTGTAATCGGGACGATCGTAGAGGCCGCGTGGAGGGCCTCCTTGATGTTCTTGGTTATTCTAGTAGCAGCGGCCTCAACGTCGTCCGCTGTGCTTATCGGCTGATGTGCTGGAAGTCTCTGCTGAAGATGTTGACAGTAGAGCCTCCAGTCGACACGGGTTTTAAACGCTCTGGGCGGCGTAGTCACCGCCTTTAGGCCAAGGGTTATCAGTAATGGGAGGTGCTGAGAGGGGAGGTCGTACAGCACTTCTACCACTATCGGGTATTTGACGTTCCTAGTGAGCACAATGCCTAATACATCCGGATGCCTCCGTGGGTCATTAGGAACGTGTGTTGGTTCCTCGGGACCTAAAACGTCGTACAAGTTCTTCTCTGCATCATCATTTAGTTCAAGACCCGGCGGGGTGATCACTCTGGACCCCACGCCGGGTGATAGCGTTCAGGTCCCCGGCGATGATTGTGGGTGTTTCACCTTCCATCACCGTCCGGATGTCTGAGGAGCAGAATGGAGTCCCTGGCGGGCGGTATGCTGCGTAGATCACCTAAGGGCGCTAGTGATGCATTTCCAATTTTAGCCTTGAAGTTTGGTCTCTATTCCTTATATATACAATGTACTGTGTGCACGTGACCGTGAGCCGTAGTTTGCGAACTATGGGGTGTAGAAGTAAGGAGTACAGACTGTGTATTAAAAAGTGTCCATAGAAAACCGTTAAATAAGGGTAGCGCCACTATATAGCCACGGGTAAAATTTTAAAGAACGTGCTGAAAAATATAAGTGGGATAGACGACTTTCTCGAGGTTATATTTACTAAATAAAATTATTTTAGAGCTACTGAGCCGTTTAGCAGCACACTTCATACCGGCGAACACCGCTAAGTTCATTTCATCCCAGTAGATACTCCAGTGCTGTTGTGGAGAGTTTTTGAACTGTTATTTACTGCTTACAGATGGCCACTTTTTCAACTATTCTACTATGGGAGTTGGTACTGCTTACTTCTACACTCCATAGTGCGAACGAGTGGCGTGGGGAAGTGGGGGCGAAATTAGAATTTGAGCTGAGGTAGCATAGGCCGTTAAACTAAACCTAGATAATTATTATTTAAATAATCGTAGTACGTTTAAGTAAGATAAAATGCCTTATTAAACGCTAGTGAACTTAGTACGTTTAAGTGAGACTAAAAGACCTATAAATGCAAGTGATTCCAGCAGACGACGAAGTATAACAAGTTCTTTTAAGTGCAGGTGGTCTTAAAATTTCTCTCGAGTTGGTGTAAAAATAAATTGTGTAATTTGATTGTAAACTTTGACTATTAACTTCGTCATGATCATTTTATAACAAAAAATGGCAGTTAATATGCACCGCTTTATAATATTTATTTATCAAAAACAGTTTCTAATCTATTTGTAGCATTTCAGTATTTTAAATAGACTCGTGAGGTTCCTGGGACTGGAACCATCCAGAACGGCAGAGTCATTCTGTTTCGGTAATACGCGTCGAATTATTCTGAGTGTAATTACGTGAATACAAAAAACTGTAATATTAAATGATCTGTACAAGTATTAATTGAATAAATAGATTGTGTTGTCGGTGCATATTATTAATGATAAAACCGTTTCTATTTCTTAACATTAGTGAGATGCTTTTTTTATATTCCATTGATACACGATAACTAATACTGCGATAATAAGTCCAGGAGAGAGAAAAAAGCGCTAACTACTTTTTGCTTGGGATGTATTTACGAGCACGTAGTTCGTTTCGTTCAATAGCATTCCTCGAAGCATTCCCATATAGGTACTCTGATTGTGACTCTTAGTCAAGGATTATCTGCACATGCGTGCACGCACGCTTAATGGCAGTAAAGGCGGACTGACAGACTACTTAAGGATAAAATAAAACAAGAAACATCGACTCTATGTTTATTATTAGTCGTGTCGAAACTTATGTAACAATCTTTCAATAAATTATGAAACGGTACAACACCACGGCCAGTAGAGACGAGCGTCGCCGGCAGTCTGCGGCCGCGGGGCTCACGTAAATTTACACATATAAAAATAGATTCTTTAGCATCAGTTTCTTGCCTAAGAGGAGAATGTTTTATAAATTCATACATTAAATTAATGATATGAAACTACAATTGAAGCACCATTGTAATTTTATACTAACAGCGTGGCGCCTCATGCGAGCTGATGAATCTAACGATCTATCATGTTAGTTTAGATCCGCGTTTTCAAAAGTAATCTTCTGTTGGTGAGACCAGCGTCAACGTTCGCAGGAAGCGCCACGACGGTACAGTATTCCGATACACACATATACGTAGTTCTTTTATATGCGCGTAAAATCGTGCTACGTTAAGGTAAATTAACAATATCTTATGTAGTAAAGATACAAGACTCAACTGCCACATTGAGGCAAGTGATACATCACTGCAACTTATCGCATGACTTAAATGCAATAGAGAATATTTTCAGAGGTACTGCGTCCATGTGCGCCATATCAAAACTTCATCACAGATTGTTCCGTTTTTAACAAAATTCATTTTATACGATTAGCTAAATAATACTTTTTACAATCACTCTTTTGGCCTTTTATGAGTACACAAGACACTTTTAACTATTATTAGAGCTTCACTTTATAGTAAAACACACACACACACACACACACACACACACACACACACACACACACACACACACACACACACACACACACACAAACACACACACACACATTAATACGGACACACGACACTTTTCATTTACAGAAACGTCAAATTTACAAATACAGAACATTGTACATCACTTTAGTCAGTGGAATGGTGGGGGTGGGGCGCGCTAGAGGCCGCGCGGCGGGCGGGCCGCGCGCCGGCGTCACACGTCCGTGTGCCGCGCCGTGCTCGCGCCCCCCGCACTCTCCGCCTCCGAGTCCTCGATCTCGCACAGGTTGGCCGACAGGTCGCTGCACGAGCCCGCGTCGCCCAGCAGCGAGTGCCGCTCCTCTGCTGAAAGTGAACACACTATTCTACAAACTACTCTGTCGGGTGGGAGAGTGGGGATGCAGTAAGGAAGAGTTAGCGTGGACGAGTGGGCCGCTGTGTGTGACGCATACCGAGCATGGTGATGAGGCTGGCGGCATCGGATTCCCGCAGACCACGTGCACGTAACGTGTCGTCGCTCGCCGCCGCCGGCAGGTACTCGTCCGGGTGCAGCAGGTACGAACTCGCTGCCGACAAATATCATATTAAAATGTGTAACGATATAATATCTCTTTGTTTTATAATTAATCTATGAAAGTTTTGCATAGGCCACTTAGAATTAGAAGGAGTACTAAATTTCGATAAATGTTGTATCCTCGATGTTGAAACGTTGCATTTGACAAAGACCTCTAAATATATATAGTAGGCCGGCAACTTAAAACAAATTTAAATTCAAATGTCAAGTGTGACAAAGTCTGTGTCACAGCTGTGAATCACGGGCGCTAGTTGCGCGGGTAGCTGACACGGAAATACGCCACGCAATAGTGTTTACATATACGACAGTTGTTACTATGTTAAGGCGCATACGAAATAAAGTTACACTCATCTGAAATAAACTTTAAACACGTTGATAAAGTACACATAAATATTGACAGCCTTTCCTAAACTAAATCAATGTTAAACTATCGAAAAAACCGTTCGCGGCTTATAAAACAGAGAACTAGTTTTCCCGCCCACTCGCTGTCGAAAATAAGTTACGAAGGATTGAGTACCGTAGTGACCATCTTGCAGTATACATATCATTGTTGATACGCACCATCGGTGGAGCGCAACGTGTCGAGGTCTCGGTCCAGGTTGTCTGGCGCCGAGTCCGTGTCGGCGGCGGGTGCGGGCGAGGCGGACAAGGCGGGCGAAGTGCGAGGGGAGGTGCGGGGCGAGGTGCGGGACGCAGCGCGTACGCGGGCATGGCGCGGCACACGCGCGCGCGGCGCTGGCGAGGCACGCGATGGCGACGACGACGAGTCCGGGCGCTCCGAGCCCGCCACTTCGCTGATGCCGGGCAGCGCGCCGCCGCCGCACCAGTCCGAGCAGTCCCAGTGGTAGCCACCCACCATGTGCGGTTCGCCCGCACCCGCCAGAACAACCGGAAGTGCTCGCGGCTGCCGCTTGTAGCCTTTCAGATCTGAAACGAGCGACGATATACCGTCTATTTTGAATTTAAGGTTTCACGGTGAAGAAGATACACTCGCTGTGTATAAGTGAATATTGATCGACGTACCGTTGTAAATTTTGTTGTCAACAAATGTTTGCAAATGCATCTGCTCGGACCAGGGCTTGCGGTCGGAAAGGTCGATGTTGAGGTTGCGCAGGTAGTCAGGCGGGATGCCCTCGAGCTCGTCGCCGGCCGAGCCGTAGCTGCGCAGCGTGTCGATGTTGTTGAGCGGCGGCGGCTCCGCGCAGGAGGTAGGACGTTCACGCCGCGACGCCTCCAGGTTGGACAGCTTGGACGCGCGCGGCTGTGGCGCCTTGTCGAGCGCGCTGTTGAGCGGCGCGGCGGGCGGCGCCGGACCGCGGCGGTGCAACGCGGGAGCGGCGCATGCGGCGCACGCGGCCAGCAGCAGCAGCGCCGCGACCGCTGCCGCGCCTAGCGGCCAGCGCGCTCGCACCGCCCAGCGCCACGCCGACCGCACGTCGAGCACGCCCTCCGCACCCGCCGCCTCGCCTGCCACCACCGCATCCGAGTACAGCGGGTTGCCGCAGTTCATGCCTGCCGCAAGCGTTTCCGTGTTACCGTTGTCGTTAGTGCCGTTCAAAACACCATTGGCCATTCCCGCGAGTATGCGACCTGGTATTGATTTATGGGAGACTTTCCGATTTCAAACGGGTATACAGGGTAGACTTATGTTATATGATTTTATAGGATAAGGTGAAAAACGAGCACATGGTCCACCTGATGGCAAGTGGTTGCTGTGGCGCATAGACATCTACATCTATCCTCGATTACGAATCAAAAATGCAGATGTGTTGTCACCGAGGACTAAGATGGAATGCCTCGTTTCCAGTAAAAAGGGCATTAAGCTACTATTTTACACTGTTTATATATTGTGTATATATTTTGTGATAGCGTGGTCCTTTCCCGTTCTAGCCGACCCAACACTATACAACTATACTACTAATATAATTGCAGCATGGCTCTACCACGTATAAATATACATATAAAATTTAGTCGTAATACTGACTTCATGAAGTACAAATATATGGTAAGTACATATATATACCTATGAAGCGTTAAAAGATTGTCTATATTCTTAGACCACCAATACATACGTAGCAATTTACTCATTCTTATGTTCTTACGTATTTTAAGGGTTTACAGCGTGTATTTGATACAAGTATTCATTCATGCATTCATTATATTACTCTTGTTTTTTTTTTATTATTTTAAATAACTGTTGACACAAAGGTCAGGAATTCAAAATAAGTAAAATTAAACTAGATAAAATCCGTAAAAATAGTTATATTCAAAGCAGTAGTGCTCACGTAAATTAAAGAAACCATTCTTTTAAATTGTTATCAGGAATATGCTCCTCCTTTTATTTGCCTTTTTTATCTCTAACGGCAACTTTTGGATGATTTGGGATTTATGTTTACCATGACATTACGTAAGCTTTACTATCTTAGACTTATATGAGATCTCATCATCATCATCGTTACAGCCCTTCACAAGTCCACTGCTGAACATAGGCCTCCCCCAAGTAATGCCACAAAGCACGGTCCTGAGCCACCTGCATCCATCGACTTCCTCCCTTATCTGAGATCTCACCCAAATCTAATTTTTGACTCTCACACATATTGCGTATCATGTATCTCGGGAAAAATTCACAAGTAAAGATTTTGTGTGATGCACATTCCGAAATTTTTAGTCATAATATCTTGCGTGACAAATACAAAATAACATGATTCATCTAGTCTTCTCAGCGAATAGGTATTTTTCATAATTCATACTCGTGCGAATAAGGAATGGGCCCGTCGAGCCTGTACTGTCAGCATACAGAGTATGTAAAGCGAAAGCGGTGCTTATAACTTTGCATCGTTGTGTTTCAAATAACCTTGTTGTTATTAATTATGTTGTTATTAATTATTGTTATAATTATTATTGCAGATCACGTCGGGGTCACCAATTAATGTGGGGTGTGGTCGATATGTGTACTCCGTAAAGTGGTTCGATATTACTCGCAACCACCTAACCACAATGCCCGCACTAAGTATTCTTACGAGTATATTACTAACTAACGTATACTAATGAAGGATAGGAATAAGAATTAACTGACTCTAATGAAGTAATGTTATTTCGATGTAACAAACAACTTTTACTACAAATAAATTTACAAGGTGAAATTAACTACGAGTACAATGTAAGTTAATTGAGATAAGTAGCGCGCGCGTCCTGTTGCTATGCCGGTTGCAGGCGGAATGAACGTGGGGTCGCCTCGCGCTCTGACGAAAGCGCGGGGCCTTATCTTATCGACGTCGCCCTATTGTTTTCTGGTAGTGGCGTGATATAAGAGTGTGGTTTAATCCTCATGCGCGGAGCGGATTTATGTAGATCCAAGGGAAGCGAGTTGCGCCACATATTGTTTTGTAGTATTCAGAAATTTTTAGTCATTAGAAAGAACTTATTAGTATATAAAAATAAGTACTTAAATAATTAATTGCATATGAATTACGGATGTTAGTCACTTTAAAATTATTATTTATTTTTTGGTTATTTATTAATTAATACTTTGTAAAACAAATTAACATAACACTTAAAAATATTGTATATTGCACATTTATGTTTTGTTACTACAAATAAATAAAATTAGCAGCATAAAAACTCTTATTGCAACGCATAAATGACGTTAGTTTTTGTAGTTATTACCGGCGATTGTGTGTATAGACATCGGCAGTATGCAAGAGAGTGGTGCATAGACAAGACGCCATTCATAATCCCATTCTTTATCAGCGTGAGTAAGACCAATAAGGTAAGTATAATGGTAAATAAGTGACACGAAACAGGATTCAGCTGTTACCAGTCTTGTCCGGCGGACAGAGGCAGCGGAATGAGCCCGGCTCGTTGAGGCAGGTGGCTCCGTTGAGGCAGGGCTCACCCACGCACTCGTCGACGTCGTGCTCGCAGCGTGGGCCGTAGTACCCCCGGCAGCGGCACGAGGGCCCGCGCTCGCCCTCCTCGCAGGCGCCGCCGTGCTCACACACACCAGCCACACACCAGCGCCCGCGCTCGCACCGCTCGCCGGACAGGCCCGCCACGCACTCGCAGCGGAAGCCGCCGCGCTCCGGAGAGCAGTGGCCTCCGTGCAGGCACGGCTGCGATGCGCACGGGTCCGTGTCCACCTCGCACAGGCGGCCGGCAAAGCGTGCGTGGCACGTGCACTGGAACACGTCGCCGCCCTCCAGCAGCGGCGGCAGCTCGCGGCACGTACCACCGTGCAGACACGGGTATGCGTCACAGGCGCCGGGCGCCGGCAGCGCGGGGCAGGCGGCTGCCACGCGCACGCGCACGCGTCGCGCCAGCTGCACGCGCCCATCAACAGACGACCCGCCTTCCGACAGCGGCGCGACGCTCGACCCGATCTTCACGTCGCTCATGCACCCGTGAAAGCCGTACGTGACCTGTATGATGCATTTCTATAGGCTTGGTGCGATCGAACGCTAACAGTTTTATTAAGTTACTGTCATTACGGACCATTTTTTATAAAACATACATACATAAACACTCACGCCTGTCACCCAGAGGGGTAGGCAGAGACTACAGACTTCCATTTAGCACGATCCTGACATACCTTTCTCGCCTCTTCCACATCCATATACCTACGCATACATGCTCGTCGGTTAAGGGTACTCTTAATTCGGCCCATTTTTAGTATATCGCCAATTTGGTCGACAAACTTCCGCCTAGGACGTCCCTTTCCGACTCTTCCATTCACTTCTGCAACATATATTTGCTTTGTCAGTCTTTCCGCATTCATTCTTTCTACATGACCAAACCACCGAAGCATTCCTTTCTTAATCCTGGTCACCGCATCATCTTGCAAACCACACTCTTCTTTTATCACACAGTTTCTCACCCTGTCACTCAGATTCAGCCCTAACATACTCCTTAGCGACCGCATTTCTACTGCATTTATTCTACTCTCGTGCTTCTTCTGCCATACCCAACTTTCACTACCATACGTTAAAGTAGGGACTAATACAGCACTGTGAATTGCCATACGTGCCTTTTTTGACACATTCTGACTTTTCACAATAGAGTGTAGAGCCCCATTTACTTTATTTCCTGCATTCACTCGTCGTTCAATATCCTTATCATATCTCCCATCCCTGCTGAATACACATCCCAAATATACGAACTCATCCACTTTACCACTTGCTCAATTAACTCTCCTTCTATTCTTATTTCACATACCGTTTTGCTTTCATCTCTTTCAAAAACCATCACTTTCGTCTTACTTGCGTTCACTTTCATTCCCCTTTCTTTTAATGGCCTATTCATTAATGTAACCATCATTTGCAACTCGGCCGCCGACGACGCAAGTATGACTTGATCATCGGCGTACAAAAGGCATTTGATGGTTAACTCACCCATTCTTAACCCGCATTCTTCAACTTTCAAATTTTCCAAACAACTGTCCATAAATAGGTTGAACAGCCACGGGGAAGCTACACAGCCCTGTCTGACACCTTTATGGATGCCAAACCAGTCCGAGTAGACCCCGTTGATTCTAACACAAGCACTCGAGTCCCTATACAGAGACTTTAATGCCTGTATCAAACCAGCGCTCAACCTAAATGCGTTCAGCGTTTGCCATAACACATCCCTGTCCACTCTGTCATAAGCCTTTTCCAAGTCCATGAACGCACAAAAAACTTTTTGGTTTTTCGCCAAAAACTTCTCCGCGATCATGCGCATGGAAAAGACTTGATCTGTACACCCCATTCCCTTTCTAAATCCCGCTTACACATCCCAAATTTTTTCATCAGTTTCTTTCATAACTCTTTCAATTAGTACCTTAGCATACAGTTTTCCCACAATGCTAAGAAGGCTGATACCACGGTAGTTTTTACAGTCCTGCTGTGACCCTTTTCCCTTATATATTGGGACTATCACGGCTTTGCACCAGTCTCCCGGTACCCGCTTTAGTACCCAACATAAATTAAACAAGGTGTACAGCAGGCCTGCCACCACGTCCTCTCCAGCCCTTAGCATTTCGGGTGAAACTCTATCATATCCGGCTGCCTTACCTACTTTCATGCTTTTCATTGCTTTCATTATTTCATCTATACTTATCTCCCTATCTCTTTCATCTTCTTTCGGAATTTCTATTTCATTTAGTTCACACTTCTCCTCACTCATAAATTCGCTTTCAAAATATTCCTTCCATCTCTTTAGACTCAACACTTCATCATTCAGGATACAGCCATTCTCGTCTCGTATCGCATTCAATCTAGGCTGTTTTGAAAGTCCCCTGGTATTTCTTACGAGTTTCCAGAACATTTTAATATTTGCCTGGAAGTTATCCGATATTCTTCTATCATTCCTATCCGTTCTTTCTTGCTTTTTCCTTTCAACTAATTCTTTTACTCTCTTATTTAAACGTTTAAACTCAGCCTTTTTTCTTTCATTCTCATCATTCTTACCGCCAGAATTACCAGCTTTGGTCGCTAGTAAATCTAGCCATGCTCTCTTCTTTGCTTCAACTTCCATACGTACCTCATCATCCCACCATAACGTATTGTCTTTCCTTTCATTCGTTCTCTTACTAACACCACATACTTCGGTAGCTGCATCCACTAAACCTTTCTTAACATTATGCCACACATTCTCCAAGTCTAACTCATTCATAACCATTTTTTATCTATTAAAAAAGTTAAAGTTACAGCCTTTATACATCCCACTGTTGGGCACAGGCCTCCTCTCATTTCGGAGAGGGTTTTAGGGAAAGGAAGTGTCCGTCGCGCTGCCCCAATGCTTGTTGGCGAACTTCACATGTCTTCGAAATGTTCTCGGTGTTATAAATAACAATTTCATTGGCACCGGTAGCGATCGAACTCGGTTTGATAACGCGCTGTGAAATTCACAGCGAGCGCTGACCATCTGAGCTAGCTGTGTCTAGGATGGTTAGTACGTTATTTTTATGATATATTATTGTAGACTGTTATTTCGATTACAGTTTTGTTTGAATTAGTTGTTATTCAGTAAAATAATTCTCCTGAGAAATGCTTAGTAAGAAATCAATCATAGACATATATTTATCACATGAGAATAGTGTCTGGCCGAAGCAGAAGCCGATTAATCGGCTATCGGCAAAACCACCGGCAGAGAAAAAGTAAAGTTAAATTAAAACCTAAAATAATAATAATAATAAATAGTGATAAGAGGGCTGGTTTTTCTCACTCCAAAGCTAAATATAACTATTCAGCGAGGAAATGCAACCAGCGTTCTTGGCAAGATACCACGGGGAGTAGAACTTTATGACAATTTAAGTTTTCAGTTTTAGTTTTTCATTATTTTTAATTTTTTTTATATTTTAGTTTTTTCATTCTATTTATTTTTTTTTTTTGTTTGTTAATGAACTTAAAATCAATAATCACCGCCGCCCATCGCGCTCTGTCTTCATCAGCTTCGGCCAAAACTTCGGCACATTTTGGCCGAAGCTGTAGCTTCAGTCGGGCAATACATAAGAATAAAATACAATTTCTTTAACAGTGACAAATAGTAAATACTTCGGGATAAATACTACGGTCCTAAACGAGAACAAATCAGGTTAATTAATTAAACAGAATTCTTTTGAATAATGCAGTAGCCCCACAATTTTCACCTCATTGAACAGTTTCTTGAGTTACGCTCCCATAAACTTAATGCCTTCATTTCCTCTTTAGGTTCTATAAGAGGCAACCCTAGCTGCGTTTATTCCGAGTATAGTATTGGTGTAACTTTTTAGAAAAATGCTGGTTTTTCCGACACTTTCCTATATTTGTACTAAATTACTAACTTACTTAAGTACTATAAATTAGTATTAATTGATTGTAGGAAACGTAGCTATTTTGTATTAAATTATTATCAATGGCGTTTAGTTCGTATATTATCTATATGAGGTTTCTAGGTTCAATTCTTATCTAGCATTAAGCCTGAGTACCTTTTTTTAATAGGTTAGGGTGACTGTTAGCGTTAGGATCTATTTTTGTTTGCAGGCGCGGAGTAAAAGAAACTATGTGTTGATTGCACTGGTGTTTATTTGCTACTACTTGCTTTCTCACTTACAATTGAGACCTGTTATAGGTGACCCTGAGATGACATTCAAATGCACAGAACATATTTGCATACTTGCGTTGGTGGCGGGTTTGCTTATTATAAAAACAACATTTTACTGAACATTCCGCCCACCAAAACAACTGTTTTCTCACTATGTCATTGAACAAACCAAAGAATAATCTTATCCCTTATGTTAAATTAAAACTCATATTAAACAAAACAAAATTGAAACTTACATAAGGAAAACAAAGGAAATATATTATACCTTCTGTTAAATTAAAACTTACATTAAAGAAACGATAAATTCTATATCTTATTATAAATTAAAATCTACATTAAACAAAAAATAAAACTTCCCGGAAACCATGTGCTACCTTTAGTGGACTGTATCAGTGTAAATATAGAAAACAATATGTTGTATGTGGCACACATGAATTGAAATAGTTTCTACCTTATATGACAACCTTAGAGCCAATGCTATTTTATAAATTTCAAATAAAGAACAAAAACTACAACCTTACAAATCTATATAAAATATAATATAATTTGCCACAGGAAGTTGCAGTAACTGCACACCTTCATTTATTCATTTAATGCGTAACGTCTGATATTTTTGGTAGAATAACTAATTTTGATAACGGTCTTTGAATAACATTATTACCCTTGCATTGTACAGAAATAACACGCACCAGGTTATCCGGACCCGGATGTAATTGTTTAACCTTTCCTAATAACCATTTTGCTGGTGGCAAATCATCTTCCTTTATCACCACAATATCACCAATATTGGGAGGCGAAACAGTATATTGCCATTTATGTCTTTGCTGCAATGTGTTGAGGTATTCCGATTTCCAACGCTTCCAGAAATCTTGAGTCATTTTTTGCAGCATCTGCCAGCGTGTGAGTAGGTTCATATTCTTATGTTCGTATTCGACGTCGGGAACTCCTATAATAGGTTCCCCTATTAAAAAATGTCCTGGTGTTAATGGTGTTAATGTTTCAAGTGTATCATCCATTTGACATATAGGTCTTGAGTTAAGACAAGCTTCAATCTGAGCTAGTAATGTAGCAAATTCTTCATATGTCAACTTGGAGGTCATATTTATTCTTGTCAAATGTTTTTTGACTGATTTAACACCAGCTTTCCATAAACCACCGAAGTTAGGCGCTTTAGGCGGAATGAAGTGCCAAGTTGTTCCGTCGTTAGCTAGGCCTTGAGCTATTTTTCTGACCTCGTTGCTCTTACCCTTTTCGAACATGATTTTCAGTTCCCTTGCGGCACCTACGAAATTTGTTCCATTATCGCTCCATAGGTGCGCACAGTGACCTCGTCTAGCAACAAATCGCCTGAAGCTTGCTA